ATGCAATTTAAATTAGGGCAAATTACATATACACCCCTCGAGGTTTGGCCAAATTACAGATGCCCCCCTGAGTTTTGAGAAATTACGAATTCCCCCCTGAATACTATATTTGCATAAGAAATTAGGGGGTTATTTGTTATGAAATATAAACCTCAGGGGGCAAATTGTTATGAAAATACAAACCTCAGGGGGCGGGATGTAATTTCCGAAACTTCAGGGGGTATCTGTAATTTAGCCAAACCTCGAGGGGTGTATATGTAATTTGCCCTTTAAATTATTATTATTTTTTAGTTAAAAATTCTAAGAGCAGAGAATTCAATTAGGGAACTGGGTACTCATGTAAGAGGCTTGTGTCGGAGATAACCATGGTTAAGTTAACAATGAGAGGTGCAAGCATGGATCTATGCTGCCCGCACTCCCAAAATTTTAAAAATCATGTTTATTATACTAGTAATTAGTAAGATAGTAATTCGCACCCTCTAAATTATTTATATTACAAAATTTTAAAAAGAATGTTTAAATTGAGTTTTATCAAATATTGATCTATTTTATTTGTTATCTGTATTATTTGTTATATTTCTATATTATTTAAAGTTACTTGTATTCTTTCATTTGTTTCTATTTGTTACTATTCTTGTTTTTTGTTCATATATCATTTATGTTTTTTTTCTTCTTTTATAAATCACACTTTAATTTGTTTACGTATCTCGTTCAAAAAAACAAAAAAACAAAAAAAAAATTGCTTATGCATCTTATTTTGCATTCGTTATTTTTTTATTCTCTAGAAATAAGAATATTGTCGGGAAATAAAAATATTATGCTTAAAATAAGTTAATAAAATTTAATGCCGCTTATTGAAACGAATACTCATAAAAACATACATTTTCAATTATAATTTTTTTTTTTTCAAAACTAAACTGCGTAATAAGATGGAAGGTGATTTTGTAACAAGTTACTTGATTATATTTATTGAGAAAGGTATTAATAAGGTTTTAATGTCAAGTTTATCATAGATGTTTTTATATATATTATAAAAGTGGTGATTACAACGTTTTCAAATAGTTAATTTTACTAGATAGAGACATATTAATAGTTAATATTTTGTGAAGTTTATGAAAACAAGAAATATATCCAATTATATTTATGTTCTCAATTATTATTATTTTTTTTTTTTTTGTGCTGCTATATATCAAAATTTTTAATTTTATAATAATTTTTTTCCATGAAAAGTTTAATGTGTTTTTGCCTTTCTAAAACTCAAATCCTAGATTCGTCCCTACACAGGTGGGAGAGGCGGTGCTCAAGTGGGAAGAGGTGGTGGAGTTGCTCAACAACTAGGAAGAGGGATAGTGCTGGTGGTCAAGTGGGAAGGGGTACTGGAGGTGCTTTTGGTTCTCTCAACTAGAAAGAGTTGCCACTGGTGCATGGCCAAGTGGGAAGATATCCTTGGAGGTGTTGCTCAATATGGAAGTTTATTTTTGTAGATTATGTTGGATTACTTAAATTTTTTTTTTTTTTTTGGGGGGGGGGGGGGGGGGTGGGGATTACTTTCAACTTGAATTTAAGAGAATTGTTGGAGGCTATAGAGTTCATCCTAAGTCCCCTATTTATGATATAAATCATTCATTTTGTATGAATATTGTGCATATCATTCTTAAAAAAATAAAATAAAATAAAAAATGGAAAGGTTAAAAAAAAAATTGTAATTTTTTCATTTTGTCGTGTTTGTTTAAAAAAAAAAATAATCTATTCAAAAAACGCATTTGTTGTTCATTTTTAGAAAATGGAAAGGTTATTATTACTAAATCGACTTCACTTTTTTATGACTGATTTATGCAAAAATACCTACAAAATAAATTATTAAAAATATCAAAACAGAACTCATAGTGACTTCCACATGCCGAAACAATTGTCTTTAATTCGGATTTAAACTTGAGAGAAAAACAATCCAATTATAAATGTCAATGTTATGTGAGATTATCTAATTATTTTTCAGAATCATAATGAGACATTTACACCGTATTATGTGATTCTCTCAATTCTACTTTAACTTATTCCCTTTCATATTTATATTATCAAACAATAAATAAAAATTACTAATGTATTTTTCATATTTATAATAGAATAATCATTTTATTTTAATAAATCAACTCTACCTAAGCATTGCTTACATCAACCATACAATTACAATTTTCCATAACACCTTCCCTTTAATTTCCACCAACACAACTAACATAAAAGGTGAAGAACAACATCAACAACCATGCGAAAATCAACCGCACTATGCCTTCGATTCAAATGTGAGTTGACTTTTTAATTTTTTGATTATTTTAATTCGGAGTTAAAAAGTTTCGTTTAGGATGAGCTTTTTAGCTTTTTTAATTTTTGAGAGTAAAAATGAAATAATTATGGTTTTGATGTGATATTTTGTCTTATTGACTTTTTAATTTATTTTGGCATCATTTGTCATAACCTAAAAAAATCAAAAAGCCAAAAAGTTACTATTTTATTTAAGTCACATCATCTTATTTAAGTCATATCACCTCTCTAACACATCATTTCAAACACAACTCATACACAACCCATATTTCCTAAAAAAAATTAAAAAGTACACTTATTTAGAACATTCCAAACATCCCCTTTATATTTTTGTGGCTAAAATAGCCAAAAAAGATTATCCCAAACATAGCTTATATTTATATCTTTTAATATCATATTTAATGTATCATTTTATATAATATTAGTAAGTGATTCGTGCCCTGCATAGAAATTTATTTTTAAAGTAAAAAAAATAATTTTGAGTCTTAATATTTTATGTGTAAAAAAATTTAACAATTAAGGTTAAATACAAACAAATTTGCTAATGACTGATACAAATTTTTGTCACTATGTGTGATCATATGTAAAAGGCTCATAAAAATAATTTCTTTTAAGTTATAAAAAAAAATGTATTTTCAACCTAAAATCAAACTCTCATTTATGTTAATCAAATTTACTAAAAATGATAAATTCTACTTGTATCAAAATATTTTTTAATTAAATACTTATATATAATAAATTTAATTAAATTAATAATTTTAGTTATATTGTGATATAAAAGTGTAATTATCATATAATGATTTTATATGATATATATTAAATTATAAGATAGGAAAATAAACGCTCATTTTGATATTAAAAATAATAGTTAAATTAAATTAGGATTAGTAATATAAAATTAAAAGTGATTCTAATTATTTATTTTTATTTTATATTTATTTGAAAAATAAAAATGTGTAGAAATATAATTATACAAAATTTATTTAAAAGATTAAATATAAATATGTTGTGATTAGATTAAGAAGAAAATACATAAATTAATTATGTAGAGTATATATTTTTTTCTTTAATATTCTTTTAGAATTATTCATACATATTGTATATAGGTATATAAAATTTAAATTAAATATAAATATTTTGTAATAAATAATTTCATGTTAAATAAAAAATTAAATATAAATTAATATTAAGAGGTCGTCGCCGGAGGACCTGACGTCGCCGCCGTGGTGGGTCAGTTTCCGCTCTTTGATCTGTGCGATATACATAATTAAGCACATTCTACCTTATTTGTTTATTTGTATATCGCGATAACTTTTTTCCAAATATTAACTATGTAATAATTATATCTAGATAATTTTTTTTCCAAATATCAACTATATCGAGATAATAATTAAATTAAAATATCAACTATATAAAAAAAATTGATAATGACAAAATTAAATACACAATGAAAAATATATGAAAAATAAGTATTTCTCAAATAAAGTCTACATAAAATTAGTTATTATAATTGAAATTGACTTTGCATAAAAGTTTATATGTAAATAGGAAAAACATGTCGGTGTGACTTTTATAGAAAAAAATAATCCTTTAGAATCTTATAATATAGCAGTTGGGCCTCCGACGATCATATATATATGATAAGCACAATTATTAATATAATGAATCCCACAAGAGTTTCACTAATGTCTAATAATTGAAAGAGTTTTCAATATAAATTTTTTCGGGAGTTGTTATTCATACTTTACTTTACTCTAAATAAATTTTTTTTATTGTTTTTATTATATACAGTTATGTTAATATATTTTCACACAAAATACACTCCCTGAGAAAAAAAAAATCAAAATTTCAATAGTATTAATATAACAATATATAATAAGGACACATAATTGAGTGTATTTAGAACAAAATAAAATGAGAATAATAGCTCTCAATTTTTATTTCTAAATCATTTAAATTTTTTGATTTGACTACTTGTAATCCTTTTAACCCATCAAAAAGTTGTCGCCTTATGCAAGCTATGTCATTTATAAATTTGATTATTATAAATAACATAACTCAATAATATAAGAGTCATAATTAAAAGAATTTGAATTATAACCAAATATATAATCAAATAACTTTTAAATTATAAATAAATTAATATTAAAAAAAAAACCGTGGCAAAATGTGCATATGGAATTTCCCAAATCAAAACACTCCCACTCACGTGTTTCAAAAACGCCGCACTACATTTTGGAAAGATAATTATAATTAATTTTTTGGTGAAAAGTTACTTATAAACAACTTATAAGTAACTTTTTTGTGAGTTTTTTTGGTGAAAATCTGCTTATAAGCGACTTATAAGTAACTTTTTTGTGAGAGAGGAACTGAGTTATAAACTGGAAAGTAGATTATAACTCACTTCCCAAAATAGGCCAGCATCATTGTGAAAAAAAAAAGGATAGAAAAAATATATTTGTAAATGAAATTTTTCATAACACTCGTACACATAAACTAACTACAAAAATATTTGTGATTACTTTTCTATATCCTTGATCATTTAAAAAAAAAAAAAATTCTAAATACACTTAATATTTAATTCTATAAGAATTTTGTACACGTAATTTTTTATTTTTTATTTTATTTTATTTTTCTATAAATGGATGATCAGAATTACTTGGCTGTTCTCCAAACACTCCCAAACAATTCCCGCCTTGAACCAAAACTCATTCACTCGAGCCCCAAACAGGCACACCCTCTCTTCACCACCTTAAAAAAAAACTCAGTTGGCCGGAAAAAATGGAGAGAGACATTCACGCAGTGCTTGTTCCGTTTCTCGCATTCGGCCACTTAATGCCATTTTACGAGCTCTCCGTCGCCTTAGCCAAAGGCGGTATTCACGTCTCCTTCGTCTCAACCCCCAAAAACATTCTCAGACTCCCCAAACTCCCTCCCCGATTATCACCACTCATCACTTTTGTTTCGCTTCCGTTACCGGCATTGGGCTCGGGACTCTTGCCCGAAGGTGCCGAGGCCACTGTCGATCTCCCGACCGACAAAACCGAGCACTTAATGGCCGCATTCGATCTCCTCAAACAACCCTTCAAGCAATTCGTAGCCGAACAATCACCCGATTGGATCGTCACCGATTTCGCCTCTTATTGGACTGTTGATGTAGCTAAGGAGTACCATGTCCCAATTGTGATCTTCTCTGCCTTCTCTGCATCCACTAATGTGTTCTTCGGCCCACCGGAATATTTATCCGGTGATGGTCGGAGAAGAGTGAGGTCGTCGCCGGAGGACCTGACGTCGCCGCCGTGGTGGGTCAGTTTCCGATCATCAGTGAGTTATCGTCACCACGAAGCAATCAGAACCATTGCTGTGTTCTATACAGCAAATGCCTCCGGCATTGCTGATTCCGAACGATTCGCTAAAGCACTTCATGGGTGTCGAGCCGTGGCGATTCGTAGTTGCAGAAAGTTTGAAGACGAGTACTTCGATTTGTTTGGGAAGATAATTGGTAAGCCGGTGATTCCCACTGGGTTTCTTCCGCCGGAAAAACCAAACAAAACCCAAATCGCCGCCGCACACGACGGCCCGTGGAGTAAGATCTTCGAATGGCTGGATGAACAGAAACCCAAATCGGTGGTGTTCGTTGGATTCGGAAGCGAGTGTAAACTCAGCAGAGACCAGACTTACGAGATAGCCTCCGGGGTAGAGTCATCAGAATTGCAATTTTTTTGGGCTCTGAGAAAACCCAGTTGGGCCTCCGACGATCTCGATGCTCTACCGCCGGAATTCAATCGCCGGACTTCTGGCAGAGGAAGAGTCTGCATTGGATGGGCACCACAGATCGACATTCTGGCTCACCCGTCGATCGGAGGCTCGTTGTTTCATGCTGGGTGGGGTTCGATGATTGAAACATTGCAATTTGGGCATTGTATGGTTGTGTTGCCATTCGTGATTGATCAGCCATTGAATGCGAGGTTGTTGGTGGAGAAAGGTTTGGCGATTGAAGTCGAGAGAGGTGAAGATGGATCCTTCAGTGGGAATGACGTAGCTCTGTGTTTGAGAAAAGCTATGGTTTCTAAGGAAGGAGACGAAATGAGGGCTCAGGTGAAGAAAGCCGCTGCGATCTTCGCCGACCAGAAGTTGCAGGATCTCAATGTTGCTGGGTTTGTTGAGTATCTGAAAAAAGGAAGTGCTTGTTGAGAAGTATCCATAGGAGTTGGAATCTCTAGTTCATAATCTATGATGTTTGGGTCCGTTTGGCCCATTACGGTCTTATTTCTTTTTTTTTGAACCAGCATTACGGTCTTATTTCAATCATTAAAATTGTTTATTTTATGTGACATTTTCAATTTATGGAATTTATCACAATAAATAAAATGAATGATATATTTTAAAAAAATATGTTGTGGTCCAATTTTATTTTTATTTTATTTTTTTTGTTGACAAATATGATAAATTGAATATATTGTGATTTGACCTAATTTTTGTTTAATAATCTATCCGAAGCATTCGATAAAATAAATAATTTAAATTATTGAAATATAAAGTGTGGTGATTTTCATGAGTTATACTTGGGACCCTAAATAAATTATCAAATTTTTTTATCAAACATCTTACATGGGTGTAAGACCCACACATATGTGATTTGTGTGAATCTCACACCTATATAAAAGATTTAGTAAAAAATTTAATAATTTATTTAAAATCTACAGCATTTTTAGATTTTTACGGCCCAAATAGTACTCTTCAATTCAGATTTAACCCAAAGGAAATCCAACTGCATATATATATATATATATATATATATTGTCTTGGATAATATGATCACATTTTATGAGATAAGACTCACATAATTAATGGATCTCATCTAGAATTGTATTTAATTTTATAAATAAATTTTGTGCGTGTAGAATTCTTCAAACAATAATACATCAAAGGGGCACTTACTAATCAATCCTATTAATTAAATTTTTTTTACTTACAGGTCCTAACTAATAAATTTATCAATTAATTTATCACTATAAATTTATTTATAAAAACAAAGAGACTGATAAATTTATCACTATAAATTTATTCATAAAAACAAGAGATTGATAAATTTATCACTTGATAAATTGTGATAAATTTATCAATAGGACTTAATGGTCAATAAGTCTCAAAAGTAGAACCTATTGGTAATTGTGTGTGTTGATTTCCGACCACACTGCCAAATTAGTATTCATCTGGAGAGCCACCGGCAGAATAGATTAGGCCCAAACAACCTGTCACAGAAAGATAAGAATCCCACGGTGGTTCGTCCACCCATGGGCACTCCATCAATCAAGTCAGTAAAATATCTCTCAAAGATAGCAAAAGAGCTTAACTCAATATTTAGAACATAAAAAACATACCTTAGACCATGGGAGTGCCTCCTTTTTATAGCCAACACAAACCTAGTCCCAGTAGAAGTCTAACTTCAATGGATTTAGAATTACTGTTAATCCTGGACTCTCAGTAGGATTGGGATAAAATCTCTAAGAGTCTTCTCTTTATCCAAACTGAAGTCCTCTCTCAATCTAGGACTCTTGTCCCTTATCCGCTTATTCCGGACTCCGGTATCTTCAGAGATAACCTCGGCCTAGCCGAGATTATCTTGGCATCATGACCAGGACACATGGCACCTTGGCTGATACTTCGGTGCCACCTCGGTCACGTGTTGCCATTCAAAAATTATGTCCCCACAACTGCCCCATAAACTCTATCACCTCGACATCCTGAGGTGATGGAACCTATATCATTCATTTCATTTAGCACATCGGCTAAGTTCGCTTTATCCTTCATTACCGAGGTCATCATTCGTCGACTCAAATATGATCAAAAACTTATAGTCTGCTTTCATCATTGCCTCAGAACCATTAACCAGGTTTGTTCAAGTTTCTCAGTCGAGATCATCCTCCAAGCCGAGGTACTGCTCTATTAAATCAAGAACTCCAAGAGCTCCTTCACACGTATGATCTGTCACGCACAACAACTCATCCGTTCTTGCCACGCGTCTCTCCCCTTCTGGGTTGTACCTGATACGCGCCACTAAATCGCATCGTTTTTGTGCACGCCGCCAGACATGTGGTCTGTCTTAGGCACATTATTTGCCTTTATGCTGCTGTTTCGAGTTTTGACAAAACTTTTCCCTCTCTGTTCGTCGCTTCACTTTTGCATCTTCATTCTCGTGCACACACTCTCTCTCTTTCCTCTCCAAATCCGCCATTGCTCCAAACTCTTCAAGCTTTGTAACCACCGCCGTTCACCTCCTACGGCGAGGCTCTTGCTGATCTCCTCTGTTTGCCACCATCATTTGATTCCGGCGTACTCAACACCGGCTACATTTTTCTTCGGTGAGTCACTGTTTCTCTCCGATTTAACTTCCTATTTTAGTTTCTTGTTTTTCTTCAGTGAACTCCACTGCTTCACTTGTTGCCTCTGCAATCCTGCTCATGTATTTGTATCTTGAATTCCACCATATATTGAACATGTTTGTTCCATGATTCTGTTTTTGGCCCAATCCATTCTTGAATATACATACACTGCTCACAAATTTGTTGATTTTTTGCCACTGGTCTTGGCCTTGCACCCTTGCACACACTCTGTCATAGTGTTCTTGATTAGAGCATCACCATTATTGATTCTAAATCTTTGTTTTTGTTTTGTGCTTTCTCTAGATTCTTGCCTTCAATCTTCGCTTCTATAAATCTAGGTTTGGGATTTGTCCGTAAAACCCACGATTTTTAGGAAAATTGAAATATACTTCACTTAGATCCTCAGAATTTCTTGCCCCATCATTCTTCTAGGTTTTGCCGAGGTCCTTCCAACCTTTACAAAACATATCCTTCTGAAATCCAACACCTTCCCCAAGCCGACATCATGGGTATGTGGAGGCATAGGGTAGATACCCCAACCAAGTTAGAATACTTTAGGCAGAAATTTTCCATCCCATCCGACGTTCACCTTAGGTTGGCTGGGGAAGACAATTCTATTATGCCCACAGTTGGCTCCATGTCCTTCCCAATCGTCGCATTTATTGAGTGTGGACTTAGACTTCCACTAGACATCCTTTTCCGAGAAGTCCTCCATTATTACAAATTGAACCCGATGCAGCTTGTCATTAACTCTTACCGAGTTATCAATGGTATAATTGCCTTAGTACGCCGAGAAAAAGCTAGGGTAACCTTAGCCGACATTCAATACTGCTATACCATGTGTGGCCTCAAGTTAGAAAAAGGCTACATCTACTACCTTAAACCGAGGCCACTGAATACAAACTTGTCGCCAACCTCCCATACTCCAACAAGGGAGCCGGGGATGATTACCTCATTGTCTCGGGCAACTGGGAGTTCGCTCCAGATGAGAACCTTCCCCTCTACCCTTTTAGCCGAACAGTATTCGTAGGAGGTAATGGTAAGAACCAAGTATCACACAGATTTATTTTTCAAGTCATTAAAACTTTATTCTTTCTGTATGTTCTAATGTCTGTGTTCTTTCGTGCAGCTCTTCCACAGCCACCAAAAGATTTTCGCAAGTCTTTCTTCCCCAGTAAGGATCTTAAGAAGTTGTTGGATCTACCAGTTCATAGGCGGAGAGCTCCTCTACTGCTCAACTTCATCCCGACTTACAAGTCGGTACTTCCTGACGTCCCAAAGAAACAGAAAAGAAAGTCTCCACCTTCCGCCACAACTCCACCAACAACTTCATCATCTCGGCCAGATCAGGGGTCAATCTCTGATCCAGCAGAGTAGCCATCTACCTCGGCTCCACAGTTGATCCCACCATCTCAACGCCGACGCCAAACTACAATCGCTGCGGAGATAGGCCACAAGAAAGCAGTCGCAGAAGATCTTCTAGCCGACATCCCCGACACTGTCCACACTCAACCAGCCCAATCCCAGTCTCAACCAAAGCCAAGGCCCAAAAGACTGAAAAAGGCTCAGCCTAAGGCAACGGTGACTCAGATTGACACTGAGAACACCTTGCCTATTTCAAAATTGGCTGAGAGTGAGAAGACCCTCTCCGCCACCGAGAAGAGGCCCGCCGAGGCCGAACCATCCCGATCAACTCGATCAAAAAGGCCAAGGTCTGAGTCGGCCACAATCTCGGGGCCCATGAAACCAGATGCCCTCTGGGCTTCCCCAATCACCATCGAGGACAAGCCGGTCAAAGCTGGCGACAGTGCAACTGACCTCGAAGTCGGCTTTTCCCTCTCTACGGCTTTGCCCCTTCCCAATGATCTCAATCGCAACACCGAGATGAGCGAATACGAAAACTTCGCTTTAATGCTGCAGCATTCCGTTCAGGTAAGTTCCTCACACTTGGTATTTTTCTTTCTCTATTTTTCCATACTTAGAGAATTTTCACTAACTTTTGTTCTATTGTCCATTTTCTTTCAGGCGATCCACCACGCCCACTCCTTCTCAATGCAAGCTTTTGAAATAAGGAAGGAGTTGGCCGACAAGATCAGGGAGGTTGATGGTTTATAGAAAACCATCAAAAAGGCCGAGGCAAAAATGAAGACCTTATCAGATCAGGCCGAGGCAGCCATTAAAGCTAAAGATGAGGCCGAGGAAAAAGCAGATGCTGCAGAGGCCATTAAGAAGGTTCTTGAGACCCAAAAGAAAGAGGCCGAAGAAAAGATGGCCGAGTCCCAAAAAGAACTTCAGGATGCCTTGGCCACAAAAGAGTCCGAGATCAAAGCCACTGATGAGAAGGCGTATACTGAGGGGGCGGCCGACATTAAGGAGGACTACAAAAAGCAAGTGAAGCAAGCATACAACAAGGGTTTCACCCTTGGTTGGATGGCTTCCCTTAAAAAGCTTGATGTCCCCGAGGACTCCCCCCTCAAGAATGCTGACGACCTCCCCCCTACCATTCCCCCATACTCCAAGCCAATCCGAGGACGATTCTGAATCCGATGAGGAAGCTTTGGTCAGGAAGAAGAAGGAAGCTGCTGGGACTAAGTCCCCTACTCTGAATGAGCAAGTCATGGACTTGTCTCAGGATAAGGAGGGTGAGGTCTCTAAAGATTCCTCCTCTTTAAAGACAAACTCCGAGGTGCCAATCGCCGAGAAGAGCCTCGATCAAACTCTTCAGGAGATTGATGCTGAGCTCGCGGCTGAGAAGGCTGCTGAGAAGTCTTCCCAACTGTCTTCTGGGGGTGAGACACAACCCGCTACCAATGCCGAGTAGTTTATTTGGATGTTCCCTTCTTTATTTCTTGTACCTTTTTGCTCTTGAAATAATCTTTAATTTGGCCGATGTGCCTTCTTTTTGTAATCCGTGCAAGTAATCCTTTCGTAGGCTGAAGTGCCCTTTCTTTAAATGTAAATACAACTTTCTCTCTTTTGAATGC